TGAAGTAGCAACGAAAATAATTTTATGGTTGGGTCACAACATGAGGAACTGTATTTAAAGGGCCAGAAGGTTGAGAACCACTGCATAGAAGATTACATTTCTCAGAGGGGAAAAACTAGACCCAGACAGAAGTGGTAAACCCCCTCCCCCCCAGACAGGGCTCCTTTCATTGCAGCCCCTGCTGAAGTCCCACGTGGGCTCTGAGAGTCAGGGATGTGACAATGGGGAAAGGTAAGAAGTACTGTGCTGCTCCCTGCCCCAGGCACAAGTCTTGCGGGAGACAAAGATAAAGTTGGCTAGATTTTCCTGGTGTGTCATGGGGGTCAGTAGAGCCTGGTAGAAATGGACCTGGGTTCAAATATCAGATCTACCATTTCCCAGCTGAGAACTTGAACAAGTTATTTAATTTTCCTAGGCTGTTTCCTCATTTACATTCTGTGGAATCATACAAAATGAGCTTTTCATTCAGTCTGTCATCATTTGTTGAACTGTCATCATAAGACAAGTGCTGAGCTGACCAATGAGGACTGAGTGGTGAACAAAGCCAGATAATTTGCTCTCTTAGAGCTCCGTAGCTAAAAGAGAGGCAAATATTAAACAAATATCCACACAAAGAAGTGTAAAATTGTCACTGGCCAGTCTTATAAAAGAGCTGGTAGAGGGCTTGGAGAGTGTATAACAGAGGGATGTGGTCTATTTGGGGTCAGAATAGGTTCCCTGAGGAAGTAGTGCTTGAGCTTGGGAATGAAGGATGATAGGAGTTAACTCAGAGGAGAGATTGTTCCAGGCAGAAGAACTGGCACGGGCAAAAGCCTAGTGCCCTGACAATACATAACTGGAGGGCAGGGCAGGAGCAGATCCCTAAGAGATGGGGCTGAAAAGGTTTGCAGAGGCCAGACCATGCTCAGCTGTGAAGGAATTTCCAAGGGCAATCAGAGAATGTTGGAGTCCTGTTTGGCCCCTTCAAGAGATAACTTGCACATGGTAAGTTCTTAATAGGTTGTGAGTAGTCAATATTAGTAATGGTCAGAGAGGAATTACAAGTCACCACAGATGCAGGCCAGGAGGGTCTTTGTTTATAGGTGGAGTACAAGGCATTGTCCTTGGGCTTCTCTTAGCCCCATGGCAGTTTGAGGGGCCCTGGAGCACACTGTGTATCTGGTTGCAGATCCAGGTGGAGCTTGACCTGAAGTACCAGCCCCCAAGAGGGTGCAACTGGAGCCTGGGCAGAGGAAGACTTTGGGGCACCCACTCAGGACAGGTAAATCATTACCCTCCAAACCCAAGCAAGACCTGGTGGTCCCCACCCAGGTAGGCCTTGGGGAGGGAGATGTGGTACCCAGTTCCACTCTGGCTCTGCTGGATATGGTGACCTGGCACTCATGCTGCCCAGTTTGCAGCTCTGTAGTTTGTGATTACTCAGCTCTGTCATTGTATCATGCAGATATCCATAGACAACAAGTAAATGAATATTATCGTGTTCCAATAAAACGGTATTTACAAAACTGGGCCAGATTTGGCTTACAGGCTGTAGTTTGCTGATCCCTGGATATCCATGAACTGGTGGTGCTCTCTTGGCTCTGTTGAATGAGTGGATTAGCCAGGTGTCATGAAGTGTGAGCCTAAGAACTCTAGTCTCTGAGATACCAGCGTCTGAGAAGAAAAATGCATTCGTTGTGTAATTTGTAATTATTATAGTATGGGCTTTGGAGTCCGATTTTGCAATGCCACTGAGGAGTTTGTCAAAACACTTGTCTTACTTAAACTTCAAAAAAAATTATTTTTTAATCCTCATCCAAGAACATGCTTAGAGAGAGCAAGGGGGTGAGAGAGAAACATCGATTGGTTGGCTTCTATAAGCTCTTCTACCAGGGATCAAACCCACAACCCAGGTATGTGTCCTGACTGGGAATTGATCTGGCAACCTTTCAGTGCATGGGAACAGATTCAACCAACTGAGCCACTCTGGCTGGGCACGTGTTTTGTTTATTTGTAAAAGGGAGTAACAGGTATAAAAAAAAGTGAAAGAAAATAAAACAAATGCCTCCTTTTCAGGAGTGCTGTGAGGAGCCAAGGAGAGACAGGATCTGGGTGAAAGGACTTTGTAAACTGAAAGTGTGGGGGTGACTCTGTGAGGGGATGACTAGGACAAAGCACAGTAGTACCAGACTACAAGAAGGCAAACAACAACAACAAACCCAGCACAGCTTCATGATTCTGTTCCACAAGCAGGAGTTTTCACTTTGAAAACTTTATTGTTCTATAAGATGGTAACACTGGAAAGCATTTGCTCATTGAACTTCCAGGGGCCGTGCTCTCTCATTTCCCATTTCACAGTGCATCCCTTTCTCTGTTATGTACTTGATACGGTTGGGTTTACATCTGCCATTTTGCAATTGTTTTTCTATATGTCTCATATTTTTGTTCTTCCTTTCCTACCTTCTTTTGTATTAAATAGATAGTTTTTTTGTCTACTGCTTTAATTCCTTTGTGATTTTTACTTAGTTGTTACTCTGGGGATTACCATACAGATACTGATATTTTTTAAAAAAGATTTTTAAAAATTGATTTTTAGAGAGAAAGGGAAAGGGAGAGAGAAACATTGATATGAGACCATAACATTGATTGGCTGCCTCCTGAATGCCCCCTACTGGGGATTGAGCTTGCAACCTGGGCGTGTGCCCTGACCAGGAATAGAACCAGAAACCTTTTGGTGCATGGGACAATGCCCAGCCAACTGAGCCACACAGGCCAGGGCTGCATACTGATTTTGTATAATATAATATAATATAATATAATATAATATGTACAATATAATATAATATAATTAGCTACAGTAGAATATAGAAACTGTTCTCCATTATAGCTCCATTCCTTCCTCCCTACTTCATGCTATAATTGTCACATATATGTAAAATAAACCCAGCAATACAGTAGTATGATTATTGTCCCCCCCACTTAGGATCTATTGATAGATATGGAATTCATGGACATACATATTTTTAGGATTCTAAATTTATATAAACAAATTGAGCATTGGTCCTTTACATAATAATAATAACAGCTTTGGCTGGTTTGGCTCAGTGGATATAGCATTGGCCTGTGAACTGAAGGGTCACGGGTTTGATTCCGGTCAAGGGCACATGCCTGGGTTGCAGGCTCAATCCCCAGTGTGGGGCGTGCAGGAGGCAGCCAATCAATGATCATCGCTCATCATTGATGTTTCTATCTCTGTCTCCCTTCCTCTCTGAAATCAATAAAAATATATTTAAAAAATAAAGCAGAAAACCTTTAAAAAATAATAAGCACCTCACATTTTTTATAGCACTTTGTAGGTTCCAAAGTATTTTTGTCTATTATGTCATTTGATATTTACAAATCTTTCAAATGCAGGATTGTGTCTCTTTTTTAGCTGGGAAACAGGCTTAGAAGGCAGTGACTTACCAGATGACACCATGAGGTTGTGGCAGAGCTGGGCTAAGAATGCAGATTTAAATCTATGGTTTTCCATCTGTCTCTGCCGCTGCCTCTCCCTTCTCCCCAGATCTTCAGAAACACAGGTCCTCTCTCCCCGCCCCTAGGACTTGCCAGAGAGGCCTTACCTGCAGCCTCCCCTCACCATCCTAGTAATTGAACGCCGGGCCTTTGGCCGTACAGTGCTCTTGGGTTCCCACATTGTTTCCCACATGATGCGATTCATACTCCGGGGTCATGAGGATCCCCCAGAGGAGGAAGGAGAGGAGGAGACAAGGGTCTTGGTGCCCAAGGAACATGAAGGTAAGAGGTTTTCTCTTAGGGACCACCGGACCGAAGCCCTTGGTTCCAGGCCGAGATGGCTCCAGGAGCCTTCTGATGGGGCATGGAGTCTGACTGCTCCTCGCCTGACCTCCTGATCTCCCCTCTCCCAGGACAGATGTCCCTGGATCCCTTATTGGTTGAAGCCAGGATACCCAGGCGGCTCCTGAAGGTGATGGCATATGGGAGATGTGGAGAGGAGGGGATGGCAGGACTGGGGGTGGTACGGGGTTAGGGCTGCTGAATTCTCTCTTCCTCAGGATCCTCTGAAGAAGCTCCCTCTGAGTGGCCTTCTGAATCAAGGCCCAGAGCTGGAGGAGGACATCCCAGATCCTGAAGAGCTCGACTGGTGGTCCAAGTACTACACTTCGCTGCAGGAGCTCCAGGGGCAGGTGGAGGCAGAGGAGGGTCCCAGGGTAGGGGCTGGAAGTAGAGGGTAAATGGCAGGAGGAAGGATCTCTTTGAACGTGGAGATCAGATCTCTTCATTATAGTCATCTTTTCTCATCTCCACAACAATTCTAGAAACTGAGGGTTATTTAACCCCATTATCTAGAGCTGTTATCCAATAAAAATAGCATGTTAGCCACTAACGCAATTATAACTTTTGTAGGTGCCACCTTTAAAAAAATAAAAGGAAGCAAGTGAAATTAATTTTAATAACATTTTATTTAACCTAATCCATCTAAAAATAATTTTAACAAGTAATTATTATAAAAATTAATGATGAGATATTTTACATCATTATTCTACACAAAGTCTTTAAAATCTGGTGTGTATTTTATACTTACAGCTATCTCAGTTTGGACTAGCCACATTTCAAGGGTTCAACAGACACAAGCACCCAGGAGTTACTGTCTTGGACAGCACAGGACTAGATGATAAACTGAAGCTTTGAAATTGCGAGGGGCTGACCCAGCTGGAACTTGAAGTTTCTCAACTTCCTGTCCCAGAAAAAGGGTAGGTTAAGGAGGTGAGGGGTGGGGCAGAATCTCTGACCTGACCCTTGATTTCAGCCCAACTTCGATGAAGAGGAAGTGGATGCTCCTGGGGATTCAGGTAAGACATTCAGCCTTGCTCTTGCTCTCTGTCTCCCCTCCTCCCCAGCACCAGTATTTCTAACTGGGCATTCTGCTGTTCCCAGACGGGGCCAACTTCACTTCCATGGATGGGGAAGCCCAGGGCCAGGGTGAGGCTGAAGTCAAAGACTCCGTGTCCCTGAAAAAAGCAATTGCCACTCTGAAGGTGACTGGGTGAGGGCAGAGGGGATTCTGTTTGGATTCTGGACATCAGGCTGTCACTGAGGCCCATGCCTTTCAGATCTACAACAGGTCCCTGGAGGAAGAGTTTGACCACTTTGAAGACTGGCTGAATGTGTTTCCCCTGTATCGAGGGCAAGGGGGTCAGGATGGAGATGGAGAGGAAGAAGGTTCTGGGCACCTTGTGGGCAAGTTTAAGGTGTGCTTGGAGAAGGGACAGAGAGGGGACCAGGAAGCATGGGTGGGGATGGGGGAGGAAGACTCTCTTACCAGGGCCTTGTCTGTCCTCCCTCCACTCCAGGGCTCCTTCCTCATTTATCCTGAATCAGAGGCAATGCCATTTTTTGAGCCCAAAATCTCCCGGGGAATCCCACAAAACCGGCCCATCAAGCTCTTGGTCAGAGTATATGTCGTAAAGGTGAGCACTCATCACCCCAGCATGCCTCCAGCAAAGGCAACATACATGAAACCTATAGACTGAAGGATTTGGAGGAACCTTAGGCATCAGCACCCACCTTCTTTATTCTCAGGTGGGAAATTTTAGGCACAAAGTTATGAGACTCCCCAGGGTTACGGCAGCACCAGAATTTAGAGCTGAGGTCCTCTGACTCCTTGTTCATAGTAATATTTAAAATGAAAAGTTCAGTGGTGGAGCAAGAGATGCGAACAGTCACTTCACAAAAGAAAATCTACATACGGCCAATAAGCACATGCAAAGATGCTCAACATGCTTCGTCATCAGGGAAATGTAAATTAAAACCACAATGAGCTACAGTGTCACATACACTACAAAGGCTAAATTAAAAAAGATTGACAATACTGAGTGTTGGTAAAAATGTGGAGAATCTGGAATTCACATACATTGCAGGTAGCAGTGTAAAAACCACTAAAATATGCTGTACATAAATTATACTTCAATAACTTATGCATGTTATGCATTTACTAAGTCATATAACTATCAAAATAGAAAAAGTAATTTTCTTTTTTATAAAAATACATTTTTATTGATTTCAGAGTGGGAGAGGGAGAGATGGAAACATCAATGATGAGAGAGAATCATCAATTGGCTGCCCCACATGAGCATGTGCCCTGAGAGGGAATCAAACTGTGACCTCCTGGTTCATAGGTCGACACTCAACCACTGAGCCATGCTGGCAGGGCCACCTCCCACAACCCCTTTAGAATAAGCTATTGTGGGTTGGGTGTCCGTCACTTCCTATAAGCCCTCTTCTGCCCTGAGCTAGTGTGAGTAGAGTTTTGTATGGTGTGTATGCACTTAAGATGTTGTCAGTAACCTGTCACTTTCCACCTTTGGGCTCTGCTTTCCTTGGTGCCACTCTCAGGGAGACTTTCACAGTCTGAGGGCAAGGTGGCTCCTAATGGTGCCAGGTTTACACCTGACCAACTAGACTACTTAAGCAGAAAAATACACACCTCTTTTCCAATTGGAGCAAAAGTCTCAGGGCTGACTCTCATTGGGCCAGCTTGGGTCAAATGCTGATCTCTGAACACTCAGTGTGGTCATGGGCTGTACTTGATTGGTCGGTGCTGGGTGATGTCCTAGGTGAGGTGAGGTACCCACCTCTGGAGCCAGGAAGTGGGGTCTGTCTACCCTACCAGAATCACACAGATTAACAGCATGGGGGTCACCAACAGAAAATCAGGGTGCTCTGTCAACAAATGAGGGAAACTGAATTGGGCAAGAGAAGATACCCAGGAAACCCATGACAGCCAAGGCCAGGGCTGGTCGGGGAGGAACAAGAATGTTGCAGCCCCTCCTTTTGTCCACCGGGGGCTGTATGCTGTCGTTGCCACTCTGCTGTTCTCCCACTTCTCTGCAGACTGGCTTTCTCTGCTCACGTGCACCTCTTTTGCACCCCAAAACTTCAGGTTGCATGTCACTTTGGCTTACTGTGGCTCCAACCCTGCATTTGATGCTACATGACTCAACTTTTCAGGATTTAATTCCAAATTTATGGGAGGGAGAACCTTGCTGGTTCAGTTGGGTCAGCAAACCATGCTGGGGGTCACCTGCTGTAGCGAGGGTGGTCAGTGATACTTGCCCCTCACGGGACCACAGACAGCCTGATCACCCAGCTGGCCCACACTGGGTGCTCAATGAATGTCGGTGACCCTGGCCCAGGTCCTTCCTGAAACCCTTCCCAGGATTCCTCTCACGAATCTGAACCCCTCTCCCCCCCCCCCCCCAACAAAAAACACCCCCTAGTTATGAGCTCAGAGTCATCATCTGGAACACGGAGGATGTTGTTGTGGATGACGTGAACCCACTCACTGGAGAGATGTCCAGTGACATCTACGTGAAAAGGTAGGCCTGCCCGCTGGGCTGTACAAGTACCTGCATACTGAGGTGAGATTGCCAACTAGGGCTTGGGCCCTGGGGCTGAGCCAAGCCCTGTCCCCTAAGCCCTCTAAGATGCCTGGAGCTGGGTGGAGGGACTGGGGTGGTGGGTGAGCAGGGGCAAGCTGGGTCCTGGGCTTGGTCCCAGCCGATGCCCCTCAGACTGCCCCTCGCCTCCCCTGGGCTCCAGCTGGGTGAAGGGGCTGGAGCAGGACCAGCAGGAGACAGACGTGCACTTCAACTCTCTGACTGGGGAGGGAAACTTCAACTGGTGCTTCCTGTTCTGCTTTGACTACCTGCCCACGGAGCGGAGCGGGAGGTGAGTGTCCGGCGCCGGCCTGGACCCTTCGCCCTGGAAGAGGCTGAGTTCCGGCAGCCGGCAGTGCTGGTCCTGTAGGTCTGGGACTATGACCGCGTCTCCGCCAATGACTTCCTCGGTACTGCGAAGCCTTCCTCCACCTTAACCTAGCCCTGCTTTCGGCCCTCATTGCCCTGTCCTGGCCCTGGTTCCCTGTTCTAACCCACCCGGATCCTGGGTTCAGGCCCTAGGTCACTAACTTTGCTCTCTGGCCTAATTACTGAATTTATTCCACCCTATGCAACACCCCCTCCATTCCTTCCAAAGTCCCTGACTCAGGCCTCCGGTCTGGTCCTGCCCTTGACCGTTTCATTGGGGGCTGTGGTGTGTGGTCCAGAGCTGTGCCTGACCACCACATTCTAACTTCTGATGCCCTGACTTACAATCCCACTGTGCTGCCTCCTGCCCCTGGCCCAGGCAGACATTGGTCTTCAGCCTAACCCAGGGAGCTCTGGCCTTGCAGGATCCCTGGAGCTGCAGCTGCCAGACATGGTGCGGGGAGCCCGGGGCCCAGAGCTCTGCTCTGTGCGGCTGGCCCGCGATGGGGCTGGGCCCAGGTGCAATCTACTTGCGGGGCTGGTGGCCTGTGGTGAAGCTCAGGAGCCAGAGGATGAGGAGCTGGAGCAGCGGGAGGCCCAGGCTGGCAGGAAGAGGCGGAGAAGGAGGAAGGGCTGGCCAGAAGACTTAGAGTTTGCAGACCAGGGAGGCAACGTCTATATCCTCAGGGTGGGTGCAGCCAGGCCCAGGACTGGGCTGGCAGGGAGCCAGGTCTGAGCCACCTAAGACAGTGATGGTGAACCTTTTGAGCTCGGCGTGTCAGCATTTTGAAAAACCCTAACTTAACTCTGGTGCCATGTCACATATAGAAATTTTTTGATATTTGCAACCATTGTAAAACAAAGACTTATATTTTTGATATTTATTTTATATATTTAAATGCCATTTAACAAAGAAAAATCAACCAAAAAAATGAGTTCACGTGTCACCTCTGACACGCGTGTCATAGGTTCGCCATCACTGACCTAAGAGCTCAGCCTCTGTTTCTTCTTTCTCTAGGGGAAGGTGGAGGCAGAGTTTGAGCTGCTGATGGTGGAAGAGGTGGAGAAATGGCCAATGGGGATTGGGCGGAAGGAGCCTGAGCCCTTGGAGAAGCCCAAGTGAGTGGGCTGCTGGGAGGCTGGCTGGAGCTTGAGTTGGAGGTGCCAGAGGACGAGGGCTTCCTGATCATTCCGAAGTCACCTGGTCACCTACCCTGTTCCCCAACAGCCGTCCCAAAACCTCCTTCAACTGGTTTGTGAACCCGCTGAAGACTTTTGTCTTCTTCATCTGGCGCTGGTACTGGCGCATCCTGGTGCTCCTGGTGCTGCTGGCATTGATCATCATCTTCCTCCTCCTTGTCTTCTACAGCATGCCGGGCCAGATCAGCCAAGTCATCTTCCAGCCACTCCACCGCTCCCCGGGCCCTAACTGACCTTGGACACTCATCCCCTCACACCCACCCCTCCACTCCTAGTCCCAGAAGTCCTTCCCACCAATATGAGTTACTTGAGTTCACTGCTTTCTTTGAATAAACCTTCACTCACATCCACTCTGATGCCTGAGAATGTGCAGAACACAGGGGCAGAGAATAGAGATGTTCTTGGGTGACCTCAGATGCTGGGGACTCACTGGGAAAATGAATACACAGGGTGGAAAGTTGACCATATGGCCCCACCACCGGGAAGAACAGGACCTGGCAGGAGGTTCAGGGCTGAGAAGGTCTGCTTGGCGAGGTGTCATACCCTCTGAGGGCCCACTGGTTGCTCCTGCCAATGGCTGGGTCCCTCTCACCTAATCTGCTTATAACAGCTAAGCACTTCACAGACTTCAATGACTTACTTATTCTTCACCAACTCTGAGGGTAGCCATATCAGTTAAGGACACTTTCGGCTGCAAGTAACAGCAATCCCAACCCAAACTGGCTTGAATGACTATAGTTCCCAGGTTTCACTGGCTGGCTTCGGGTGCAGCTTGTCACAGGGCTCAAACGATGTCACCAAGACTGTGTGACCAGCATTAGTCTAGTTTGAACACAGCCCTATACACCAGGAAACGTCCACATGGGGCTCCCAGAGGGCATCAGGCCTGATCTGTCAGTCCTGATTGCCCTCAACAAGTGGCTGTGATGAGGGGTTGTCCTCAGGTTCTGACCAGACCCAAGAACCACACAGAGACCAGTGAGTACTATCACAACCAATAGATTTATCAACCTGGGGCTGAGCAGGACTCTCCGGGAAGGGAACAGGAAGTAGGGGGGCCTGGGAAAATGACCACAAAACCAGGGAACAGGAGAAAGAGGGGACAGCAAGGGGGAAGAGGACAACTATGTTGTCTTCCCTAGATCAATTTTCTTCTGGATGGCTCGTGCTGAGTGGTAGATGAGTGAATCGATGAGTCCAGCCACTGGGGAGAGAGACAGAACTGGAACTGGCCCAGTTGGGCCCTTGGCTTGACCACCAGAGCCTTACTCACTAGGTCAGCATCTCCCCTTGGCCTTGAGGTGCCCCTTCTTCCCCAACCAAAATCTGTGGGGAACCCAGACTTCACACACTCCACCACACCCCACCCCAGACACCCTAGAGCTACTAACCTGTGAACATGCCCCCGATGATAGCACACACGCCCGTGAGGAAGTGCGTGAAGGACCTGGCAGAGGAGTGGGGGGATCAGCAGGCACCCCTACTGCCACCAGGCCCATACCCTCCCTTTCCCCAGCCTCACCTGTGCTTCTCTGTCAGCTTCACCATCATGGGCGAGAGCTCGTAGAGCACGAAGACTCCAGGAAGCCCCTGGTCGCCCAGCAGCCCATTGGCGACCTTCTCATGTCTGGTCACAGAGAACTGATTTGTCCTCAGCACCTAGGATGGGAGGGGAGCTGGACCAGGTCTACAACCTGACTCCCAACCCCCTCCACCCTACCCCTGTTCCTGCCCTGTGTCCTGTAGCACCTTGAGTTGTTGGGGAGAAAACAAGGTGCCATGTTGGTCACGAATATGGCAAGGCCTGGGGACCACCTAGATGCCCTCTTCCAGCTTAACAATCCCAGCTTCTCCGCTGGTCACCAGCTCTTTAGAGCTTACCAATCCCAGCTATATTTGGTGGATTCTCACAACGGGTGTCCATGAATGAGAAGCAACTCTTCAAGGACGCAGCATGAGCACCTGGCCAGGCCAGGCCTGACTCCTCTGCAAACTCAGTCCCATGCAGTCTGCCGAGCTGCTGTTCCACAGGCCACAGCAGAAAGGGAAGCAGGGGGCCCAGGAAAGGTTAGCCCCCAGCCCAGGGCAGACCATGGAGTACAGTGAGGCAGACAGTGGGCACTGGAGGAACAGATGGATGCAGCCTGAGCAAGTAAAAAGAGCAAGTCCTTTCAGATCTGACAGCCCGGGCCTTGGTGGGCACAGGGCCTACACTCTGAGCCTTGGCTTATCACCCATCATATGGGAAGAAGAGCAGCACTTCACTTCCCAGGCTGAAGGGACTCCAGTGCTTGACACCGAGAGGGCCTCTGCTATCTGAGCTCCTGCAGACTTACCTGCCCATCTAGCTTCATGTATACTGTAGGTACCACCTTCACAAAGTACTGGAACATCATGGAGGCTGCAGGGAGAAGAGAGCACTGGGCATGGTTGTCGGGCAGGGCTTTGGGAGCTGGGGGTTACCTTCCAGGCTGGTACCTTGAAGTGCGGTGACGTTGGTGCGGTCCAGGGGGTTCACGATGCCTGGATAGTCCTCCCCAAATGACAGGTGCCGGATGTAGTGGGTCATGTTGATCTGTAAGCAACACCTGGGACTCAGAGCATTAGAGGCCCCAGCAGACCCCACCCCATCAAAAGCTCTGCAAGACAGTAGAAGCCAGGGACACCTGGGTCTGGGGAGTAGATGTGTGGAGATGGGGGTAGGAGGGAGGGGCCCAGTTAGAGAATCTGAGACAGGCACCCCACTTCCCACTTAGGAACTCCTCCTTCACAGAGTCTATGGTCTGCAGGGGTTCCGAAGTTTGAGGTTCCGCTTGAATCCATACACATTAGGCAAACACAGACGGGCAAGGACCCTTAGTGGCAGGTGCTAGCTTCCCCTGAGGTTTCAAGCCAAGGAAACCCAGGCTGGACGGTTCCCAGCTCCCACTCCTGTCCTATTCTAGTCTATATCAAACTCAGCCACTAGAGGGATATTAAAAAATATGCCAATATGATTATGTCATGACCCTAGTTAAGATAGGCCAACAGCCTCCCACTGCCTGAGGACAAAGACCAGACTCTTCAGCATGGCCCCTGAATCCTGTGGTCTGGTGTCCACCAGCCTCTCCAGCCTCATCTGTCCATAACGGCACTGGCCCTTGGGGTTCAGTGCCACGTCCCTTCTGACCTTGACAGGAATGCTCTTGTCCAACCCCAGCCTGCACAGATCTCAGTTCAAAGTCACTCCCAGTTACTCAACCTTCAGTCTAGATCCCCTATCAGAATGTGGTAGTTTTTTATCTGCTCCCCCAACCCAGGACGTCCCTATGAGAAATTAAGGCAGCAACCATCTCCCACCCCATCCGCCCTCTATTATTTCCACCTGGTACATACGTTGTCAAGGCCGAAGCTCTGCAAGTCGTGGACTAGAAGAGAAGGGGGAAAGTGTCACCTGGTGGAGCAGGACTGGCCACCTGGCTCCCTCAGAGTCCTCGCTCAGGCCTCCTCGCTCTTCCCTCTGGAGTGTGACTCCCCCGCAGCTCTTCTTTGACCCCTCACCCCCCCTTCCCTCCCAGCCTGGCCTTGCTTGAGGGCAGCCAGAAAGGGCCTGCCTTGGGCCTATGGGAGAGGCCATGCCCTCCTTGCGGGTCCTAAGAACACAGATCACAGCTCTTCCCTGACATATGTAGGGAGCCCTCAGGAAACGAACACCACCAACTCTGGTCTCTCATTAACTAGAGCCGATGGCCAATCACTGAATCCCAAAGTGAGGTGGGACCTGAGAATGCTACCCAAGCTCTTTCC